ATCCGTCTCACTTCTGCTATACCAAACATGTGTCTTAATTCTGCTGTACCAAACATCTGTCTTACTTCTGCTCTACCAAACATCTGTCTCACTTCTGCTATACCAAACATCTGTCTTACTTCTGCTATACCAAACATCTGTCTCACTTCTGCTATACCAAACATCTGTCTTACTTCTGCTATACCAAACATCCGTCTTACTTCTGCTATACCAAACATCTGTCTTAATTCTGCTACACCAAACATTGAGTTTAATTCTGCTATACCAAATATCTGTCTTAATTCTGCTACACCAAACATTGAGTTTACTTCTGCTATACCAAACATCTGTCTTACTTCTGCTATACCAAACATCTGTCTTAATTCTGCTACACCAAACATTGAGTTTAATTCTGCTATACCAAATATCTGTCTTAATTCTGCTACACCAAACATCTGTCTTAATTCTGCTACACCAAACATCTGTCTCACTTCTGCTATACCAAACATGTGTCTTAATTCTGCTGTACCAAACAACCAACGTACTTCTGCTATACCAAACATCCGTATTACTTCTGCTACACCAAACATCTGTCTCAGTTCATGCAATACCAAACATCTGTCCCTTTTTCTTTACCAAACATCTGTCTTACTTCTGCCTTACCAAACATCTGTCTCTTTTTTTTAACAAACATTTCTTACTTCTGTTATGCCAAACATCTGTCTCACTTCTTTAAGAAAAATCTGTCTCATCTCTGCTATACCAAACATCTGTCTTACTTCTGCTACACCAAACATCTGTCTTATTCCTGCTATACCAAACATCTGTCTTATTTCTGATACACCAAACATCTGTCTTATTTCTGCTACACCAAACATCTGTCTTATTCCTGCTATACCAAACATCTGTCTTATTTCTGCTATACCACAGTGGAATTAAATGATGAGATATATCAAAATTCAAACTTTAGGTCGGTCCCTGTATTTATAATTGTTTGACAATAATAGTGGGTTTTCAGAACATAAAAAACATGTTCTAAAAGAAAACTGAAAATAAGTATAACATGTCTCCTTTAGATAATAATATTTTACGTCCATAAAATCTTTTGACCTGTTATTTCGGTTTGAATCCTATTGCTAACTGTGTCCCATAATGATACAAAATATTGGATTCATGGAATAGAGATGAAGTCATGTAAGACGTTTCTGACCTATCCTTTTAACAATTGTGTTTGTGTGTGTTTAGCTCCAACAGCAGCAGCAGCAGCAGCATCTCCCCAGGCAGATGGGCCAAGGCCAGAGGAATCCATACCCCCAAGTCAATCAGTACCAAGGTGAGAAACACCAACACCTGCACCCGTTTCAACTGTCCAACAAATCACACAATTTGTGCAAAAATGGAACCATCCCCATAGATTTCCTAATAAACGAGTCAAGCCCTGACCTGAATTTGCCAGCATGTTATTGATGACCACGTTAGTGAATGGATTTTTGGTAAATCAGTTCCTAGTCCTTTGCAGGGCATCCTGACACACATGCACACTTGGTCTGCAACAAGTATGGTTTACATGGTGGAGAGCAAAGACATTTAACAGCTTTTACAGTTCACTCTGTGACATATTCACACACAGATAGACACGTAAAACATGTATGCAAACAGATGCGCTGTGCATCATCCTGAAACCAAACCCTGCCTCTGTCCGTCTGTCAGATGCATCTGTTGGCGCTCAGATGCTCTTCAGCCTCTTTCTCTCCTCTCCCTTTTTCTCGCTCCCTCCGAAAAAAAATTACAGAATATTCCTGCTCTGCCTGTTACCACGGCAACTTGTCTGTCCTGGATCCCCTAGAGTTCCGGTGAAGTCGGAGAGATGGATGAGAGGAGGGAAGTGGGAGAGAAAGGGGGGACGCTGGCAACAAGAGGAATAGGTAGATGGTCTGCTAGGTAGAAGAAGAGGTTGGGAAAAGAGAAATAAAGAGAGACAGGGATGGAGAGATGAAGAAAAATACAGAAAGGGAGATGGAGAGTCAAGCTGAAATGCCATTTATAGCCATCAGTCTGTCTGCACATCTAGGAGATAATATAGAGAGGAAATTCTGGCCTAGAAATGTATCTGTAAGTTCAGCTATCCTGCGGCGCAGCAGTGATTTAAAAGCCATTGCAATCAGAACATAATTGTACGCTTTTTATATACATGAAAGGGTATGTGGGATACGTGTGGCCATTGTGTCTGGTTACATTACCTTACTCATTTCCTACTTACTCATGAGTCTGGAGTGTGTGATCCTCTCCGTTCCGACTCCTCTGTTGGAAATACAGTCCGAGCTGGGAGGTGAGGGATTAGTGGAATGATGTCAGGAGTGGGTTTATTAGAGGATTTGGAGCCATTTCCACACTAGCAGGCAGACCTCCTCAGCTCTGGCACTGCCGAGGCTCTCTTTGGGAAAAGTGGAGAAGTGAGGTGCTGGTGCTTTAGTGTGTTAAGTTTGACTTTAGTCTGGTCGGATTTGAACTTCATTTGGAGAGAAGTGTTCCTTTCCAGAGTAAACAGGTTGTCACGGAACATAAATCTTTGCCTCCGCTCTGACGTCTTACGTGCCAGTTGGTGATTTAAGTGATTCAAGCATATAGACTCCAAAGCTGTTTCACAAAGTCCAACTCCTTTATTAATTCTGTCTCCACATGCCTCTCTATTTCTTTACCATCTCATTGTTTTTATTCTCATCTTTAACTCTTCTGAATCTCCTCCCCTAGGTGCTCCTCAGGATCTGGCCTCAAGGAGCCAGGCTCTCCAGAACATCCGGGCCGCCCGTCTCCTACAGCAGCAGCAGCAGAACCAGCAGCAGATGGTCCAGATGGGTTCTGTCCAGGGTCAGGGGGGCTCCGTGGGACCCCAGACTGACATGGGTCTACCCTACGGCAACCAGGGGTCCAGCCAGGGTTCCCTGTACGGGCTCAACCCCTCCATGAGCCAAATGATCCATCAGCAGCAGCATCAGAGCCAAAGTGTCCAAGCCTCCATGGGTCTTCCACCGCAGCACAACCCGGCCGGGGGGCCGCCCCGGCAGGCAGTTGCAGGTCCTGGGGTCGGAGGGATGCCCGGAGGTCCCGGAGGTGGTGGAGCCGGAGGGTACGGAGGCCAGGGGATGTTAATGAACTCGATGACACAGCAATCCCTGAAAGGACCCCCGAATGCCAAAGCCCAAGCACAGAGACTGCAAAGCATGCTGGGAGCAGGAGCAGGAGGCGGGGGGATGGCGGCGGGTGGCTGGCCACAGCAGCAAGGACAGAGTCTGCAGTCCTTGGGGGGAGGAATCGGAAGGACTACAGGAGGAGGGGGAGGGGACATGGTGGGGTTCAGGTCTGCCCAGGGTTATGGGATGCAGCCGGGTCAACCCCAGGGCATGGCCAAGCAACACTTTCAGGGTCCGGGCCAGGGCATGAGCCAGGGAATGGACCCCAGGGTGGGCAACCCAGCGGCGGGGATGGGCGGCCCAATGATGGGCCCTCACATGGGCGGTCAGCCAAGGACCAACCTGCCCCGGCCAATGGTCATGAACCAGGGAATGAACCAGGGGGTGATGGGCCAGGGGATGAGTGGGATGGGGGGATTCGGCCCGGGCCCTGGGGGGCCTGGGATAGGGACAGGGGGAGGAGGAGGTGGACCCTACGGACCAGGGGGAGTCGGGGTGGGAGGTCAGCCACCGGGCTACCAGAGGACAGCGAATCAGGACATGTCATCCTATGGATATGGGGGCGGGCCCTCAGGGGGAGGAGCCTTCGGATTGGGCGATGGCTCAGGGGCGGAGCTGGACTCAAGCGATGGTTGGATGGAGGAGTTTTTCCCAAACCAATAGCCAACGGGAGATGAGTTTTTACTGGATGAACTAAAGTCGGACAAATGCTAAAAACCTGAAAAAGTAAAACAAAAAGGATGACATGATGCAGACTGGCATGTTATTGTTTTCTAAAACGTGTGTGTGTGTGTGTGTGTGTGTGTGTGT